TCAAGCTTTGTTTGATTTCAAACTATTTTATAATAAAGTACTTGGAAATATACAAATATGTCAAGTGGAATTCTAGGGATATTATGGCCATTTGATGTTATGGTACAAATAAAAACACAAGATTTGGGTTATAATATTTCACTCAATGTCAATATGAAGATGTCTTTCTTATTTATTATACCTAACTGCATTTTTCTGATATTTACCCAACTTTTCTCTGCATGTTAGATGTTAAAAACAAAAGAAAAATCCATTCATCTCCATTGTATTGGGGTCGAGTCTCATATATGCATAACGTAAAGAGACACTGAAAATAATTATGAATGAGGCATAAATAGATTTATTGAGATCAGATTTGACACAGACTGTAATAGTACATTTTTGGAGCAGTTTTTCGTTTTGTGCACTAAGAGGATGTCAGCATGGTCAAACTTGGAGTTGAATACCTGTTAGCATACATTTAGTGAAGGCTTTGACTTTGAAGCGTTCGCCAAACGTTCGCCATTGACATAGAATGGATCATAAGCTCACCATTGAAGAGGTTAAACCGACCCTTTAATGTTACCGGCCCCCTGCTTTTGTTTTTCTAATTGAGACTAAGTGAATATAAACTGAGCTTTAAAAAAAAGTCATCATTAAACAGTTTTCATCACTCACCGTTTTTGAGTTAAACTGTCCAAAAGGCCTCATACGTCCCCTCTTGCCATTCTTTCTCCTGGAGAATCCCCCAGAACCTCCATGCGAGGCGCTCGTATCTGTCTCCTGTGTGGCTCCAGTATCCAAAGGAAACTCATTCTTGGTGGACATTTGTCTCTTAGTCTCATCAGTCAGAGGAACAAGATGAGGCGGGCTGCCCCACCCAGAATATCTTTGCATTCCTGTTCTCAGCCTCATACCTGACTCTGCAGATGGAATATGCAGGCAAGCGATGTGGATAATAAAAAAGTATTTCATTTTTGGGAAATGGAAACCCATTGGACAATCTACAAGTAACACCAAACTATTTTCCAAGCTAAATTCAGCAGCATTGAGGCCATATTTATATTTTACCATTCAAAACTCCGCCTCTGCCACACCCTGCTGTGTCCTGATGATCCCCTATTTCCAAGGGACACATGTCAGTTGTTACAGAATATAATGATCCATCCAAGACTATGACAACCAGGTCTATTGATATTTAGATTTATTTCCATCTTCAAGAATTAGGTTGATCCAAACTGAGGCCTTTGTAGTTTGAGGAGCTGCTGATGTTGAAGTCATGTGACCAAATAAGTGAGCGGCCTGAAGCATTTTGATTTGTCCGAGTGCGACTTTAGAGCAGCAAAACTGTTTGGCAAATCGGATTTTAATGATGGATAACAGGGCTTTGATTCATGTTTTGTAATGAGTTGTCATATTTGACACCTTCAAAACTAATACATGCATTGTATTGGGATTTTAGGCATATCTGAATTCTGCATTTATTGCCCACATTTTTATATTTTAGATGATACTTTATACCTTTTCTATACCACATTCCAGTGGAAAAAGATTGTCTCTTTAAATGCCTCCCATCTAGGCCTGCTGGAACAACGCTTCCCCAGTTAAAAAAATGTCTGCTGTGGTTGGATAAACCAAACAGTTTATGATACAAACAAAAAGGAACTACAACACTTTGGACACTTTAAAATGATGTATTGCGGATAGTTTGTAATTTTTTGCGAAGCCTTAAAATGTCAGTAAGCCTTTTTGCCTGCTGGACCTTATAGCTGCTATAAATTTGTATAAACAATGCATCAAATGAAAATGTGAAAGGTGTCTCTGGTTATCTCCTGAATCTGCCACTCTCCTTGACTACACAGAGCTTTATGGTGAGTTTCAGCTCATTGTTTAGTTTATACACAACTTGTTTTTTTATACTCAGTGTCATTTTCAGCGCAGCAAGAAGCTGTTAAAAGAGAGAAACCAACATATCTTATCAGCAGCAAACATCAGAGAGCCACAATCGGACAGTGGTGAACAAAAACGCTGCTCCTGTGGCTTGGAACCAGCTGCAAATTGAGCTGAAACTCACAGAGCTGGTTTCATTAAATGTCATTTAAATTGTCTGTAACTGTGCTGTTACCAATCTTGGGCCAGGACTCTCTTGAAAAAGAGATTTGGAATCTCAATGAGACATATCCTGGTTAAATAAAGATACATTAAAATAAAATAAAAAGTGGAGCATAATAGCAACTTTTTTCAATGTTATTTTTCCCATTGGATTTTAGAACATTGCAGAAAATAGGATCTTTTAGACAGAAGGATAGTTTCAACATATTAACGTCCAATACAAGTTGAAGGGTAAATGCGATCGCCAGGCGTAAATAGCTAACAAAACGCTATCAACTAACGGCTTCACTTCAACATAGCTAAATTAAAGGCAGCACATTTTTGGCAAGATGGCGTTTAGTATTCTTATTCTTATACCCCTGGTTTTCTACTGCCTTTTCTATGGAATGTAAAAGCTTTAGACATTTACCATTGGGAGTTCACTGATGCATTTTATGTTGTACAACAACTTTGCACCAAACCATAATCCCCTAGTATGCATGTCCTTACATAACCTCAACTAAATGTTAAACATAGCCATGGTTGGTACGGAAAGAGGAAACAGATCTCAACACAGATAGCTAAATAAAACCTCTTATGTGTACATAATAAAATGTCTGGTAAAAATACGAGGAAGGGTTTTAATTAGTGTTTATAGCTAAGAAAGTACGGTCTGATTTGGTTCTTCTTTTTTAATATGGTAGTTCAAAAGGTCATGGACTAACCATGGGTCAATTCTGATTTTAAACACATGCTCCTGCTTGACAAGAGGAAAGAAACTAGCATTCATAAGCAGTAAATAGCTAATAATTTAACATATTAAGTGTCAAGGATGTTTATAAGGAAACTTATTAAATGTCCTGAGCTGTTACTGAGTCAGGCATTAATCTTAAGGCTTCAATGCTCTCTAATAACAAGGTGTCGTCATGTATCGGCTGGATGTGGGTTCCTTATTGTCTTTGGGTTGGTGGGTGTTTGTTAATGCACATTTAGAGTAATGAAATGCACTGTATACAAATAATGAACTTGAAAACGTATAACATTTTATAGTGCTATTGTCAAAACAAAATGCAAAGACACGGACATTTCTCGTTCAAATGGTCATCTTTTATCCCTTTAACAGGAGACCTTAAAGGTAAATAGGGGGCTTTCTTTGAACTGCAGTATTATATATCACTATGAAACATACCCAAGATCATTCTTAATGATTTGTATTTGAAAATTTGTAAAATAAACACCTAAATGTGCATTTCGGATGCTTTCCACCAGTGTGAAAGAAGACATGATGGAAGAAAATTACCCAAAAACGAAATTAACCAGTTAATAAAAGGTATGTATATTTGCCTGTGGTGTTTTGTTATCTCTCACATGGTAACCTTGGAAAAATGGTCTATCCTCTGTTCATTCTCTGTAAATAAACCACTCCTGCCTACTCATATTTTCACAGAGGCAGCACTCAAACAGATTAGCCAGTGGATTGAAAACGATGATGTAACTTCAGTGCGATCACATATATTCTCCACTGAGGACTCATGATCAAAGAGACACAAAATGTTTACCATTGTCCATTGACATTACTGATATTGCGTTCCCATAGAGACCAAGACAGAGCACAGGATGTCCGCTCAGGTGCTGAGACTCTGAACAATATCAGTCCCAGTGTTGTGGTGTCATGCACCAAAACACACGGCTGTGATCAAATGAATGGTCTTACACTTCCAAACAACGCCATTGAAAATATATAGGAGGCAGAGAGAAAGGCAGAACACCTGCTACCTGCTCTGTTTGCTCGGCTTTAACTTATTAGTCCTGTGCTTTATAGGCTGATGGATGTTTAGTATATTGACTTCTGGGATCCCAGCAACATATCATCACACTCTGGGCATGTGGCTTCAAATTCCCACTGGAAATGGTGACTAGAAATGTGTAGGAAAAAACAATTTCATGTCTTTGTCATTACATCCAGCTAAATCAAGCAGTTTTTTAATCAGTGGCGGAAAGTAACTAAGTACATGTAAAGAAATTATTGCTATAATTATAATCAAAACATATAATATATTATTCTTGAGTGGGCCAATTTGCATAATAAGTATTGTTGGTACTTTAAGTATATTTTCATGCCTATACTTGTTTACTTTGACTTGCAATGCAGGACTTTTACTTTTTACAGAGTATTCCTACACTCTGGTACTTTTACTTTGACTTCAGTCAAATATCTGAGTAATTCTCCAACCTCTATAAATCAGCAAAGGTGGGAGAAGTAAAGTAAGAGTAGAAGTACCAGAGTGTAGGAATACTCTGTTACAACTAAAAGTTCTGCAATCAAAATGTCGCTCAAGAAAAAGTACACATTTATTTGCATCAAAATATACTTCAAGTACCAACACTAAAAGTGCTCATTAAGCAGAATGCCCCATCTAAGAATAATATATATCATATGTTTTGATTATAATTATTGATGCATTAAAGCTGGTGAAGGTGCAGTTAGTTTGAATTACTTTGTAAACTTCATGGTAGCTTGTGAATGTTACTCCAGGTGTAACTAAAGTCTGACTTATGTGTTGATTATATTTCACATCATTAATCCAAATCTGCAAAGTAACTAAAAGTACAAAATAAACTAAGTGGAGTAAAAGTACACGATTTACCTCTGAATTAGTAGAACAAGTACAAAGTAGCAATTGAAATACTCAAGTAAGGTACCTCAAAATTGTACTTAAATACAGTACTTAAGTAAATATACTCTGTTACTTTACACCACTACTGATTAAAAAATGTTTGTGATTATATTGACCTAAGACAACCATTTTAAGAGTGACATTGGTGCCCCGTAGTGGACAGTACCTCTGCTATGGTACGGTTCGTAATTGGTTCTGGGGGTTCGGTAATCTCCGGCTTGAATCGTACATATGCGAAAGCGGCCGAGCTGGAGCGGAGCTGTCCGGAACATCCGGCTGTAGCTCCTCAACATAAACAGCTATGGCGGAGGCAGCAGCAGCGTCTACGGCGGCTTCACCAGGTATAGGAGGTTGGACCAAACACGTAACCTGCAGGTAAGACAGGACAAGGGGCTATTTAGATATCGAAGATGATAATGTCGTCTGTCGTTTGAGGCTAAAATAGCGGTGACACGGTGTCTCGCGCGCGACTGACTACAGCGTCGTCTGAGGCTCAGCTGTTGGCTAACTAGCTGTAGCTACTAGTGTTGTTATGTTCGCAGTGTTATGGTCACAGCCTGCTGGGCTTCTAGCTTAGCAGCCAGCATACTAGCTACCCTTTCAAAGCTCAACTCGGCTAGCATAATGCCACATTATAATATTAGACCACGACTGTTACACAACAGTGATAAATCCCTCATCGTTTTGGCCAACTGTTCGCAGTCATTTGTTAACGTTTAACTGTGACTAACACACGATTAACCATCGAGTTTATCTGGTTGGGTCACTTTAAATGTACCATTATAATAGCCAAAGCAGTTACCAGTCGCCAAATCCAAATATACTAACGTTGTGAACCCAATTGTTTGTTGTCACCTTGCCTAAGATCGGCTTTATTTGTGAAAGTGAAAGACGACATTGACGCGCGGTTGTCATGTTCAGCTCTCTCAATTTAGCTAACAACTTTCATTTTGACGTACTGATGTGAACATGAACTAGTGTTTTCCGTTCAAATTCCAGTAGGCCTGGACATCTTTTATGAACTAGACAACTGTCTAATTTGTATTTTCAGGTATTTCATGCATGGTCTTTGCAAAGAAGGAGAGAACTGTCGATATTCCCACGACCTGACCAAAAGCAAACCAGAAGCCATGATTTGCAAGTTCTTTCAGAAGGGAAACTGTGTGTTTGGGGACCGTTGCAGGTAAGGACATGTTTGTACAGAACTGGCAGCTGCCTCGGCCTATAAAAGTGCTTCCTGACAGTTGTCAGATGAGATGCAGTATAACCTTCTTTCTAAAACTGGCCTTGCTTTCAGCCAAATGACAGCGCAGCAACTATCCTGGCTGGGTTTTCAGTGTGGCTGCCTGATCCTCCAGTGGGTTGGACACCTGAGACTGTTTTAACATGTCAACATGTTGTTTGTCTGTGGCAGCCCCATGTAAGTCCAAGGAACTAGAACGGCATCTCAGCATTTCTCAGCTTTCTAGGTTCTGCGTTGATTCTTTGTAGAGCTGGTGTTCAACATGTCAGCACAAGCCTCATTCTGGGTTTTTCATCGTTGTTTTTCCATAATCCTGCCTATAACTTAAATCAGACCGTTGTGAATATGATGATTGTTTTAGTTTTTGCTCCTGTTTGGGCTGCAACCATCAACTACCCTCATATCATCTCATCTACTAATATTGTCCTCATGGGCACAATAGTGTTTTCTCAGGATGGCATTGCTAAATTAGTGTGTGTGAGTTTGTGTGTGAACGTTTATCACCCCTGTTGAGCAGGTGGTTCCTTTCAAGATTCAAAGGCTTTATTGTCACAGCTCGACAATACTTAGTGCAGACCATTTTCAATTTATTTGTAATTTTTGAAAATGAAATATTTATGTATATATTTCAAAACATCACGAGGTTAGCATTCATTTCCACATTCAAAAAACATATTTTTAAATTGGCAAAATATCGGCTTTCATCAAGGATCTCCGAGTTGAAAAAAATGACAGTATGTTCAATTTCAATAAGCAACAATATATAATAATAATGTGTTTTCAAATACATCCTATCTCCTCATTGATGCCAGCTGATTATGGTACTGGACTGAAACCAATGTGAACCAGTTGCTTCTCTAAAAAAAAAAATGCTTTGAAATGGTGAGCAGTATTTATTCATAGTAAATGGGCTCGCACATGAAATGTTATGGTCCTTTGAGAAGCAGATTAGGCTCCATGCCTGTTGCCAAGCTTGAATGTGTACCCAGACATGACCAGCGAGCGTGTACAGACGGTGTCTGCTCCATGTCTGGTTTCAGGAGGGTCCCCATAGTTACAGAGGAACCCGATGACCAGCCCAACAGCAGCAGGGGCGCATTAGTTACTTGCATAGTTGATTATTTTTCATGAATGGTCTGCTTACTGCCTTTGGTTAGGTGTATAAATCACTGAGCTGTTGTTGTTGTGTTGATAAGTCACATTCCTCCATCCTTGTGAAGGGGCTGCAGTGAGGAAGGTGTCCTCATTATATCTGTGCTAGTCCTGAGAAAGGCTCTCTGTGGGGGTTTATTATGGTTGAATTCCTCAGGCTGCGTCTATTGTGATGGGCTCTGTCTCGCTCTCTCACTCTGTCTGCGTCTCTCTCTCTCTCTCTCTCTCTCTCTCTCTCTCTCTCTCTCTCTCTGTGTGTGCGTATTTTAGCTATTT